CCGGCTCGAACGAACGCCAGAAGCCAAATAAAGTGGCATTGGATTTGTTAGCTACTACGAATGTAATTTTCTCCACTGTCTTCTCAGTTCTGGAAGATCGTATTTGCCGAACGGCTGGCAGTTCAAAACACAGTTCGCGTGTTACTTCCGTCATTTACTGCGACATTGTTACCATCAGCGAAGCGTTTCGTTCACTTAGTTGACAGGTAATCAGCAAACATGTCATGTGATGCGATTTTTTCATGTTGCAAGCGTAACGACTTCGAGCTAGTCGACCTTCCAGCTAACCGACTCTCAGTCGAAGCACCCTATCGCAATACACCAAATGATGCATATTCCCATTCAAAGCCGAAAATCTATGCGCAAATTTTATACCCATTTGGTTTACACGGAAAACTTAACCGAATCTCTCAATACACCAAATGATGCATATTCCCATTCAAAGCCGAAAATCTATGCGCAAATTTTATACCCATTTGGTTTACACAGAAAACTTAACCGAATCTCTCGTTTGTGATGTTCTTTGTGAAAATATACTGCGATATCTTGAGTATCGTACCAACTGAAACGAGAGGTGGCCTTCGTGCAGCACATTCAGTTGAAAATCATCATAAACGAGGGATTCCCTTGAGTTTTTCGGGAACACCAAATTTCTATGCAAATGAGTGTATTTGTCGAAATCCGTCCAATTTGGGTTTAAATAGAACGTAAGGTTGAAGGAACCCCGGGAACTGCGCCTACCTGATGAGGCTCAAAAGTAAGGAAACAGTTAGTGGGTTATCAAACAGTGAGTAATCTCCTTTACGGTGTTTTATCCGACGAGTCTTGTGTTTTCCAAAGAAGGAATAGGGAGATTCATCTCCGAAAATTGTTAGCAGTCTGAAGACCTTTGTATACATCATCACTGCCTGCAAGCCTGTAATAGATGTGCTTAGTGAAATGCGGAATAGGAACTGGGACGTTTCTAGCCAAACGGTAGCATGTACACGGTGAGCATTGTTGTGAGTTTGAATCAGAGGAATCAGGACACAAACATAGCACGTCTGCCGTTCAATGGGTGAACTTTGATTACAAGAAGTGGGATGGCCCGTTCCGTCACATTATCACTTTGTTCGGATTTTGGGGCAAGTTAACAAGGTCGCTTCAAAGAGCCAGCCACGTGAATATGCGAACACTTGGTCGACGGAATGATGTGTGAACACACTGAGTCCCTCAGGGGGCAAATAAAGGTTCTTAGTTCGGATACCACAAACAGTCTTTTTACATGAATTGTCGAGGATTCGCAAGCTGAAGGCGGATCTCTGAGCTGGTTGGCCCCAATCATAATCGACATCCAAAAACGCACACTCATAGTCTTACGCAAGCTAAATCAGAGGAAGAGAATCTGACATTTTGGCTTCTGGAAATGAGGGGACTATTCTGGATAAAAGCAGGATTCATGAAGAATTCTCTACTAGTCTGAATTTCCCAATATGGATACTTTTTCGTGCAGTGACTTTCCTCCAGTGACCACAATCGGGGTGAAGACAGCGAGGAAATATTACTGGAGAGCAGGTATTCGATATTATGGAACGTCGAATTTCCGCGGGTAAAAATTAACAACTTCGTTATATAGACGAACTGCTATCCGATAGATCTAGGATCTTTGAGGACATTTACTGAGCGTCCTTAAACACTGACTGTGAAAAAAATTGGGCACAGTTTTTCGGCAAGTCGCATGAAACAGACCCAACGTTGTAGAATTTATCTCCCCCACAATAACCTCCGAAACATAAGGTAGGACAACTTTGAGGATTATCCACTGGTATCTATTCATCACCCACGGTTGCAGATTTTTTGTCCAGTGAATTGCAGATTTCTGTCCCAGGTGATTGACCTGAGCTGGCGATTAACCTTCGAGTGAGGTGTGAGAGGGATGGAAAGCTTTTCAAAACACCGGACGTCGTAAAACAAAACAGAACAACATGTGTTCGGATACATTGTCGCCCAATTTCAAACCGTCCGAATTTATGACTCGGGATGTATCGGCTGACCAGTGATGATACCGTTGTTGTGCTGAGTAACTGAAGAAAGTTGGCTCCCCATAAATCAGTGCCTTGGATTTTTTTCTTTCAAAGTTCTCTTTCATTCAACCTGGCTGTCTGTTGGAACGACAGTGAAGATGTGCTGACGCTCCATTGTAACAGTCATTCAACAGTGCTCTTAGATTTTGTTCAGTTGCTCTACCCTCCCCGATGACACAGTCTTGGAGGCTGACAAGTGACCTGATTATTTGCCACAAAGATAGATTATGGAGCCGTATGGACCAGTAAAAAATGGCAACGTAGAAAGAACTGTCTGACCTACTAATTATTCGCTAGAACAGTGAGAACTTTGCTGCTAGCATTCATTCATTCAGAAGGAGACGGTTTTTATGCCTTCGCAGTAAACTGTGATCAAAATACATTTTGATTTCTATTTGGAAATCTGTCCTCTTAAGCTGAAGGTCAAGTCGGACAGAATCCTTTTGTCGCGAAACTTGCCGGTGTACAAACTGAGTTGTTTGCGCTACTCCTCAGGCAGAAATTTCAGCTTAACCAAAACAAAAGTTCACTTGGACTGTAAAATTTGAACTTGACCGGAAAAATGGTGTACCCTAGGCTAATGTATCAGCGCCGTTTACGCAGGGTTTAAAGCGTTTTGCAGTTGCTGCGTTAGAGAGGAATCAGTTCTTTGTTTCACGTGTGGCGGTTTAATGTTAATTTTAATTTTAGTTCTGGTAGCCTAGTGGTCAGCAGTTCATATTCATCCCCCACCCCCCAGATTTGTCTTTTGAAATATGCTACATGTAATTGGACTCCTCAATTCAAGTTCTAACAAATTCCTTTACAATCTCCATCATTTTATGATGGATCGCAGGTCGGAATCTAGATTTTTACAGTATTTTTCCTCTATCCGCATGAGATATCATGCTGTCTAACGTGCTTGCATAGGCTCACCGATTCTTCTAATCTAGCATACTTAGCCCTCGAGACAGACATCCACAGAACAAATTAGCTTTGGTTCTCTCCTGATGGAGTGGTACATCGCACACCAAGGTGTGAACGGTGAGGGTAATAGCCTCTCTTGGGCTGGATTACGGTATTCCGTTGACTCTACATGGTTATGGACCAGAGCTGAGCCACTCTCACTCGTGCGTTACCTTCAGTTAGTGCTGAATTTGCCACGAGGGGAGCAAAATGGTGACGCAGATGTCAACGGCAACTGAGGAAAGTCTCCTTGAGACCTCCCAATGTTTTCACCTTGGAATTATATTTGTCGTAAAAATGTGTAAATTGGGATTGCGAGGAGACGCAGATACAAATGATGACCGGTGTTTTTGTCGTGGAAACATGCAGCCTGTTGTGTCTCGTCGAACATATATCACTAGTGTCCGATCCTGTGACGCTTTCAGTAAGGACCGGAACAGTCGAGGACATCTAGCTTGGAAAGCTACTGTGAAACAAACGTGGATAACCAGAACGCCGGAACATACTTTTACAAAGCCAATAGGTGTGTACCTCTTTTTCTTAAGTCAGTTTCAGTTAATCGATTGAAATACCTGGGGTTCTACCACATCACTGACTGCATACGCCAACTACACACGTGGAAATGGGCTGCAAATACCTATACGAATACTTCTGTTTCACCTTGTCGCAAAACCAGATTATTGCAGATATCATTATCGCACAAGTGATAGTCAAGCTTCTGCTTCGATTTTTAAAGACGTATACAATTTTTACCATTAGACGGATAATCGTGGGGGAGGGGGCTTTTTTGAAGGACTTTGTAAGCGTAACCCACTGCCAACACAAAGTACAAGTTGGGTTCCAAGGTTACCTGTCACATAAGCTTGAAGAAACGAGTACGGTATACCTAATCGAGAAACTTCCTCAAGAACAGACGGAATTTTTATGTTAAATGTCAGGGGAACGAACCTCAAATGCAAAGTAAAAACGTTTCATGCTCTTAAAATAACAAAACCAGGGTTATTGGCACAGATTTACCAGACCACACTTCACAGAAGGCTTGGATAAACTTATCTGGTAAACGATCCTCTCACGAGTCTTGGTAGATAGAGGATATGATGGGGTTGGTATGCTATTCTGTGTTCAGTACAGCTCTGCCAGTACCTGTGCGAAGCGTTTATCAATGCGACTTTGAATACGAATGTCACAATGGATCTGGCAGTGGCTAAAATCCAATGCTTAGTTAACATGGGGAACCTTCATGGAACTTCGTAAACGGGTTAAAACGCCTCTGTAAGTTCGATAAGATGCCCCGTACCGAGCAGGTAGGCTGAAATTGATGTATCACTATCACGTTGTTGTTCTTCGAGGAAACCTGCCGGAATATGCTTGGCTGCCTCGTTATTCGCCTGTTACACATAAGCAATTAAACTGATATACACCAAATAAGTTGGTCTGACAAGAAAGACTATCATTCAGACCTTGTCTGATAAAAGGGTGGCTAATGGGGACCGCCTCAAGGTCAGACTGTCCTTTCAAATGCTTTATTAAGACCTTGAGTGAGACACCTAATAGCGTCTGTCTAACGCACATAAAATTTCGTGATCGGTTTACTTTCGTTTTCGTTTTTTGGACCTCATCAGGCTCTAAATGGGAAAAGACACTAGTTCCACAGCAAACTAAGTTGGGGACTCATCTGGGTAGAAGAGACGATTATGCCGACAAAACTGAGCAGTTTCTCCTGCATTTATCTTTTTCCAGCACATAATAATTTTGAGAGCTGCCAGCTTGCTAACATCTTGTAAGTTTTTGCACTACAAGAGTGACACGGTTGAACATTTTTCTAAGTCGATGTTTGTGAAGGTTAGTTCAACCTTCACTTCACACACCATGATGAGCGGCCCATTGTTCGGCTGTTTGACTCAAACTGTCAAACCAACAATGGCGAACCGTGTCCGATTTCACGAAGTAAGCTAGCTCACTCAGTTTCGTTATTTTTTCGATGTTTTTCAGTCACCGGGAACAGAATCTACAGAACTTTCAACCGACTCAGGGAATGCTTTGCTAAATCTGTCAGGTACGCCTACACTTGGCACAATGCAGTACGAAATGCACGATCATGAGCGGACTCTTGAGCACACAAGAGGTAGATCAGTTTCACTCGTTCACAGTACAACGGCGCCTCCTCTGTATACAATAGACTGCCTTCTTTCATCCACATCATCTAATCCAGCCGATCGCAACAAAACAGTCCCACCATCGTGCTCTGATCATCCCACTGCGACAAACCTACAACAGTTGGACAAACTTAACTGCGGGGTGAATCTGGAATCCGAATATTCGTCGAAGCAGCAGGTTCAATCACTGCAGTTGCCGTTTTCCTTTTGGTTTTCTGTTTTTTATGAAATGTGGATGAATCGATATGCAATCAGTAGGCAAATGACTGCTCCGCAACCTCAGCCACTTGATTTCAGGCTCTCATCCAGCCGACCGGACCATGGAGAACAAACGACAACCAATGCCGTTCCTTTGAGCTCTGGGGCCAGCTTGTTTAATGTGATCAACACAGCACCGCGCATTACAGCTCTTCTGACCAATTGTCATAACACATCGCTGAAACCCACATCAATTGCTCCTAATCTATATCAAAAGCCCTCGACCGGACAACAGGTGGGTGTCATGCAAAGTGGCGGAGCTGAATTCTGCAATACACGTCATGAAGTCAATAGCTGTTCCTCTCCATCACGCCTTCTGTCACCCATTCCTAGTCGGAGAATGGCTACAACGACCAATGTAAGCCCAAACGGTTTACTTACGTCTCACTTCCCTCCTTACGAGCACAGACCAATAAATACAGCACATTCCACAACACACACTCCTACTGAATTCCACAACTATACCTGCAATGATCGGTGCAACAGATCATCAGTAGGCCTACCCCCGGCCATGGCAGAATTTCTACCCCCCTTTCTTAGCAGTTCCACCTCATTAACGCCTAAGGGACTCATGGAAGCATCTATTTCATTTATGAACACGGGAGCAACTGAGCACACTAAGCCGGGTAAACACTTGGACAGATTATCACACAGCCCTTTCAGTTTTCCAAGTACAGCAGAAAATTTATGGTATGCGAAAGCCAGAATGTCAACTGACGGCATCATGACCAGATTTTCCAGACCATCTGATCTACCCCGGTATAGTTCCACAACGCGCGCCTCCGAGGTAAAATCACGTGGACATCGTTCCCTCCCGTTCCCACTAACCAAGCGTGATGGTCGAATGCACTATGAGTGTAACGTGTGTCAGAAAACATTTGGTCAACTCTCTAACTTGAAAGTCCATCTTCGAACTCACACAGGGGAGCGACCATTCAAATGTAATTTGTGTGATAAAGGATTCACACAACTGGCTCATTTGCAAAAGCATAATCTTGTCCATACAGGTGAAAAACCGCATCAGTGCTTGGTTTGCCAGAAACGTTTTAGCAGTACGAGCAATCTGAAAACTCATATGCGTTTGCACAGTGGAGAGAAGCCGTTTGCGTGCAAAACATGTGAGGTAAGCTTCAGTCAGTATATCCATCTGAAGCTACACCGTCGCCTGCACTCAAATGAACGTCCATTTATCTGTCCGAAGTGTCACATAAAATTCCCAAAGCCTACGGACCTGAAGCAACACTGGATAACCAGCACCTGCTACACCGGTGAAGATCTGCCGCCAGATGAAAGAAACGGCTTTCAGGCGATAGATGCCAAATTACAGTTGAAGCCGGAAACGCATGTATCAAAACAAGAACGTCCCTTGGAGCTCAACAACACGTCTAAAGTGGCCGGTTATTTTCAGAAAGAATGTGACAAGCATTTACATTTGATTTGATTTTGCCAAACAAGCATTTTCCAGTAACTTTTTAAATTTAGTTTTAAACAGTTTTCCGAGCTCAGTCTACACAACCCGGTCTTCCCACGTAATCAACTCTCTGTACACATACTGGTCCAGTTCTGTATCTGTTAACTTCATAAGGCTGTGTTTCTATGTTTATCACTTCTCCTACCCATGAGCACCGTATGCTTCACGAGCACCAATTTATCATTGTCTGAACAAATGTCGTGGAAGTTTTGTCCGCTCACACAAGACGATGAGGTCATTCACTTGTGTGTCATGAGTGTTGATCAGGATCGATAAATTCCGTGCCTAAAATCTAGATAGGATTGGAGCGGAATGCATGCGTAGGGCCAATAATACACACAGCAGCCTAGACCAAAATAATCACATCATCCCAGTGAAACGCAGAGGACTCGATCTACCCCTTGTATCCGATCGGCCTGCTGGTCCATATTATCCGAAACGGAAGTGAATCGATGAAAGACTTACAACCAACAGCTGTGCTTATATGGCATCTGTCATATGCGATCCATCTGCTCAGCGATAAGCTGAGCGGAGGAAGAAAATGCGAGATAAGTGAGGTTGTGTGAAAGTAGTTTAACAGAAGCCTACTCAATGCATCCCACGTTGCTGTACTGCAAGTAATTAGTTGTACAATCGGTTGGTTAATTAGTTAATTAATCAGTTGTGCAAGAGGAATAGCTGCCATTGATTTTCATCAATGATGGGACAACATGTGTCCGTACTTTTATCATGTTAGTTTAAGAGGTCTCAACACTTTTCCTAAGGGGAAATGCCAATAATCCAAAAGTTTCTCGACAGGAATATATCCTAATATCAAGGTAAATGGGTTTTAGCCTCTGACCTGAAGCCTGAAACAATTCGTACCCACATGGATTCTTCAATTTGAAATCGGGGGATCTTAACAATTTAATGGAGGAATCCACTAAAAATCGTCAGAAAACCTGAGCATGAAATGGGAATGGCTTATCGATCCGACCAACGGTACGAACAATCAACGGTGATCCCTAAACTGTAAATGTCAGGAATGAATAGCGTTCGAATCCCAAAACTGTCACACAAGTTACTGAACGTGGTGAAAAACAAGCGGATACATATGTTCCGGCACAGTGTGTAGTCATATAAGTTTGACTGTATTCAACATTTCATTATATGTGTGTGACAACTAGGTACCCCGCATAGGACCGCTGCCTATCTAGCAAAACCAATTCTTGGTTCGAGTGGTCTAAGGTTGCACGCATCATTCCCGTGGGTAGAAAACAATGCGTTCGCTTAAACTCTGGGTGTTACTGTGCACGGATGGTTTACGATGATGACGGCGACCTGTATCAAAACCTTGGACGGATGAATGTGGGAAGTGTACGGAGGTCAGAACAACCACTCAATCGGAATCATTCACAGATGCATCAGTCGGTTTGCAGTCACTAGCGCAAAGAAGAATTCTAACTGTACAACGATCTTGAGTATCAAAGCTGTGGGTCACTCGTGAGAAACACCGTCCCTGGCAGTATGTGATACTCAAAGTCACCTTATCCTGGCACATTCACTGCTGATTCTGATAAGCCATCCATGTGAAAATGTAACCACAGCCTCAAGGACAAATTTTGCGGTGGGATCCCAAAACTGTCGCGTTTGTCAGGAACAATAATGCGATAATATGAAGAGACAGTCGGCGGCGAACTAGAAGTAATGAAAAGGGGTATGTGACAAGGTTTCGTGAGTGGAGATGTCACAAAGATTCAGCCTGAGGCCAAACAAAATCCCCAGGAGCAGGTTACCACCGTCCGTAACGTTTGCTTCGAGGGAGGCCCTATATCCCGAACTGAGATTTTAACCCAGGATCTATAACCTTTCCAACAACTGAGTGAAAACTGTGAGTGTGACAAGCGGATGATTGTTTCTGCTCCAAAACCAATTTCTGATAACTTTTTGGGCCCCTGTCCCAACTTTTCACTTGGGCAGCACACCAAGTTAATGTGAAATATATCACGTAAACTATGCTCAACTAAACAGAGCTTAACTGTGAAGCCGCGGTTTTTGGTAGCATAGTAATTCGCAAAACCTTTGAGTAGTGTATTCCTCCTATGACAATAATTCATCCATAAGATTTATACTCCACAATCTGTGATCCGAACCTACTCTTACTGCTCATCTCTGAAGAAGGACGACCAAGACATAATAAACCAAAGACGTTTCACTTGCAACTGGTTTGTATTTTCATTCGATCCGTACCAAATGTTTCAGAGGGAATATGTCAAACGTTGTGGAAAATCTGACGAGTGATAAGCCACAGTCGTTGTGAGGCATCGTTTACATACCTATTCTGGTGCGATGCGTAAAAACAACCGGATTCTCTTCCTTAGAAGGGACACCATGTAAAGGTGATGGTGCTTAAAATGTATATCAAAAAGAGCTCGTAAGCGTCAGTTGTGGCGCCATAGATTTAGGTGAGTAAGTGATGTATCTTTTTGAAGGAACGCTACTCCTTAGGTTGATGGAAACTATACGATAGCTCACACTCTGTTTGGCCCTTTTTGGGGCTTGTCAGGAGGACGCCTTCCCCGAGTCTCTGTCAAATTTATATTCCACTTGAATTCAAACTGTGCGAAGTCAGCGAAACACACCCATATGTACACCGATTAGGTTTTAACAGAAGGGTCGACTGAATCCTAGCTGAAACTCTTGTTTATGATATTACTGAACTGAATGTGTGCTACGAAGGATGCCTTATGCTTCAGTTGGTGCGATATTCAAGATGGTGTAGCGTATTTTCTTAGAGGAGCACTGCTTATAATGTTGCTGGACACTTCCACAAGGAAGGCTGGTTTCGCTCTTGTCGGGGTTTATGATGTAGTCACTGTTCCTGACTTTTGCAAACCTAATGTTCAGATGAGCTTTACAAATGAGCGTATTCTGCGGATTTCATACAAGTTGGGACTCAGGTAGAACAATGATGACAGAACCTCATAAGATTCACCTACCAGAGGAGCCTTAAGAAGGGCGAGATCAGTCGTGAACTGTCGAAGAAGCTATGCTCTCGTTCTGCTGTATATCGAATTAGCCAAATACCGGAGAAAGGAATGAAACTGAAGACGATGCGAAGTGCTCACGTAACAGGAGACAAAGCTGAATGAAAGCTCGCATTCTATGTGCGAAACAGCATGACAACCACTGAGTGCATACTGGCCTGATAATCTACTGGCAGCTCATTTGTTACGACCACATGAGCAAACACTAAGTGTTTATGCGAGAAGGGGTGGGCTTAGCCGATTGCTGCACTAAGAAAGTTATTTTCATTACGACATCTACGACATCCAGGTTGTCCTCTGGATTTCCAGCCAAATTCTACCGGATTCGACCCCTGGATACCATCAGTGTGTTCGCCAGATAATAAAACTTATATACTACAGTGTCCGTGTTCAGTGGCATGGTTCTATGAGCAATTTCACCAAGTTAACTCAAAATTATGGAAAGCTCCAGGTACAAGAAGAGTGAATTTTTGTGATCGAATTAGCCTCCATCGCATTCGACAGGTAATCAGGGCGATCAGTTTTCCCACTTTTACCCTACTCTCAGGCGTTAAAGAGTCAGCTATTTTGTTTAAACAAGAACACAGCAATGAACATGAATGTTTTTGGGATGTAGTTTTGAGGTCAATACATAGCTAACGTTTGAAATACGCGTGAATAATGAAACAAACAGCTAACATTGGTTATTAAATTAGAAAATGGGTAACTACGGACGGCTGATTTTCAGCGCACCCCACATCGTATCCAGAAGAATGCTATGAGAGGGTTTGGAGGGCCGGTGAGGTACTAGCTGGATAGATTCCTGTCATATGATCAGAGCAAACTCAGCGCTCGTACCAATCGTCTTTGAGAGCACAGTACCGGATTTTTTTGAATACTCCCACTGAAAAATGAAAACATTCCTTCCTTCCGCGCTTAAAACAGTAAACCCTCTGATGCGCATATTTAAAACGTTCAAGGGCAGCATTTGAGATTCGAACTAGTGAAAACGCACTTCTCGCTGGTGCCGGATGGCTGACAGACCAGTTGTTAAGATGATCATTTGAGTTAAATTTGGTTTTATGGATTTTTGGCAACACCTGTCGTATAGGTCCTGCCTCTGTACCTGTGACGTTGGTCACCCGTTGGACAAAATTTGTTCGTTCAGCGGCAGAGGTATCGATACAGTGGAGGCTATGGGACAGAGAAATAATGGTAGGGACTTCACAAAGCAAACGCAACTGGAGAACCGTAGACTGGAGTTATAAACTTGTCAGGTACACACATTGGTTTGGTGCTAAATTGAAGAAACGATCGATAGGAGCGCAACCTGATTTAACCAATTCTCCAAGCACAATCGTCAACATCATCTTTAAAAACCATGTACTTCCCGTAAAGTGGCTTTAGCTGCCACAGCTTCATTCGCCGATGATTAAGCAAGGTGCGGTAGATAGCTGCGCATTCGAGGTGGGAGCTGATACAACTGATGCATAAATACAGGGTTGTCAGTGCACTTTCCATCGGGGAGATTGGGAGGGAAGCTGTGCATTGAAGGCAACAGATTGGATTCAGGAGCGCTAATGAGGGCGCGACTCGGTCACCTTTGATAGTGATTCTAACCCTTGCTGTGTCACGTATCGAGGCCCTCATCCATGAAGAAGGCAATGACTAGCACAGCTGCGTTTCCTGGAAGTGGCTTTCATACTTCGCTGTCAAGTCATTATTTGACCTCTTCTGGCTTTTCACACTCTTCACTCGGTTGTGCTAAGAGCACTTCGAGGAATTCTGCCTTACGGATCACGTGACCGAGCCAGCACAGTCTGTGGAGTGCGGTCAGTTCATTTTTCGTTTATTCCTTTCGGAAGCCATTCGATCCGCGTCAGCATCACTGATCTGGTGTTCCCACGAGACTCTGGCAATGTTCCGAAGGCATTCATGGTCACACGCTGAAAGAATTTTGACGTCCTTGGCGAACCACGTTTCTTACTCGTATAATAATATGGAGCGTACCGCAGCATTATAAACTTGACCACTGACGGACAAGCTGATGCTACACCTAGAGCACAGGTGGTGCTGGTTCACGAAAGCTGCACTGGACTTCCCGATCCGCGAGACCACCTGGACTGATACTGTGCCCAGGTAGACAAATTTGTCA